CCCTTTGATCAAGATCTTCCCTCGCTAGAGCACTCATACTTCTCCTTACAACAAGAACAAGTTTTCCATCATCATTAATTTCTTCTCCATCCCCTTCTCCCATAAATTCATCACCGCTATCATTCTCTCTATGGTCATCCTTAGATTCATCTTTCGTTTGATAACCACCATCATTCAATGCAATGATAGTTCTTCTATTAGGGCATTCATTTGCTTTATGTCCATGTCCTTGACATTTAAAATACTTTATTTTAGATGGAGTTTCAAGTTTAGATTTGTTACCTAAATCCTTGTAGTCCATCTTTGGTTTGGCTTTGTCAAAATTGGACTTGAAGTCTTGCTTTGCACCTTTGGAGTTGTCCCAAGTAGGAGATGATTTCCAAACTTCTTTATTTTTTGCCCATGAAGAAGAAGAAGATTGCACTCTTGATTTATTTTCCTTTTGATGTCCCTCCACCTTGAGTGACATTTGAAAGCTTCATATAAAGTAGGAAGACGATGCAAATCTAATGGTTGCCTTATCTCTTTATTTAATCCTGAGATAAATCTTGCCACAAGATTCATCTCTCCATCATTGACATTAGCTCGAAGCCTAGTATGTTCTAGCTCCTCATTATACCCTTCCACACTCTTGCTTCCTTGTTGAAGATTGTAATACTTTTTGAGTGTATCTTGTTCATAATTTTGACCTACAAATCTTTCTCTCATTCTTCTTTTCATGTCATTCCAATTTGTAACAAAATTTCTATTCACCAAAGCATCTCTTTCAATTTTCTCCCACCATGTAGAAGCAAAACCCCTAAGGTGACTTATAGCATAATTCATTTTTTTAATATCACTCAAATTATTGAGATTATATTGTCTTTCAAGCTTCACTATCCAATCAAGATATTCATTTGAGTCACTACTTCCTTTGAAAAATGGAAGTGTAACCTTGATGTTGTTGAATCCTCGATCTTCATCATCATTCATTCGATTGTATTCTCTACCATTAACTGGATGTCAACCTCCATTTCCTCTTCTTCTTCCTCTCCCACTTAACCTCTCTTGTTGAGCTTGATCGTCTATTCCATAGCCATAATTATCACCATCAAAAGAATCATGCTCCTCAAGGTTATGTTGGGCTCTCATTTGATGTTTAATTACTTGTGGTGGAAGATTTGCTTGTTGACCCCCCCCCCCCTCTTTTTGGAAGTGTCACTTGATTGTGAGCCTTCGTTGGTAATGTGACATTAGGAGATAGGGTATCTTGCACAATTAAGTGTGATGGAGTTGCATCAAGAGGAGTTTTACTTGATCCCTCATCATTTTGACCATTAGGATTGAAAATCTCAAGTGGTTGTGTTGCGATTTCTTGAGTTCTCACCCTCCTAACCACACATCTTCCAATTTTCCCTTCATATCTCTCATGTCTTCCAATAGTTGTTGCAGTATCATTTCCATTTTGCTAGAGGGTTCTCCCTCCAATTGAGTCATTGTACCTACCAAAAGAAATAAAAAGTAAGTAGAAAAAGTTCTTCACCACTCGTTTTTTTTTCCAGTCACACTTGTGTTAATTACTCTAAGGCCAAGCCTTTTAAGGCTACCCTCCAATGAACTCACTTCATTCTTGCCTTTTACCACTCTTGAATAATCCAAGGTTGAGAGTCAACACCGTCAAATAATTCACAAGTGGTACTACTTCTTCGGGATAGAGTGGAGTTTATGTAAATCAAGAAAGGACATGGAAACAAATAAGCATTCAACAAAATAAAAGAAAAAAATAAAATAAAAAGAATTGGCACGAACAAGAACTAGCTTAAGTTAAGTATGAACTAATACTCAAAGTAAACTAACTAGAGTTAACTAACAACAATAGATAATATTTTTTTTTGTTCTTCTTCTTCTCCAAGAAGTGGGTCAATTTTTTTTTTTTTTTCTTTTGTGTTTTGAACTAATACCCTTCAATACTCCATCAAATGGACTCAAATTCGGGAAAACACTATTCCACAACTACATCAACAAGTTTTGACCACCAATTTCTACAAACAACAACAAATCAACAAACCCATTTTCAAGTTTCTTCTTCAAAGCTTCAAATCCTAACAATGACTTCTCTTTTTTTTTTTTTGCCATGTATTCTTTGATTTTCAGCTAGGAAACAACAATATGTAGCTCAAAGAAATAAACCAACTCTCAAATTCATCAACTACAAATCAAATTATTTTTTTTGGCAGATTTTTTTTTTTTTATTTCAGAAATTAAACAACTCAAAGATTAAGAATTGTGCCTTGCTCTGATACCAATTTGATGTGAAACAATAAGATAAAAAGAAAATAGAAATAAAAAAAGATAGATAAAAGAGATAGACACAATTAAATTCAAGCAACTAAGAAATATAATGGTTAAACTAACCAAAAACAGCACTTAATTGAGAAATAATAGCACCTAATCTACTAGAATTACTTGCAAATTCTAGGACAAAATGTTGAAGTTCAACAAAGGGTTTCCAAACTCTCACAAGAGGCATAACATGTCCAAAAAAACCTTTATGACACCCTAATATCTACTATTTATACTAAAAACTAAAATAGTGAAGAAAGACTTAATTGCCCTTCATTAAAATTACAAGTTGATTAAAATGGTAGAACACTTAATATATTAAATATCTTCAAGTCTTCCATGTTGGAGCCTTTCAAAGGTTCCATCTTCATCCATAAAGCTTGCAATGGTTGAAGGTCCTTAGCTTGACTCCTTGTGAAATGCCTCCTTGAAGTAGTGTCACTTTGATCTACATCACCAACCCTCTCACCTTCATGGTCCCCCTTCTCCCCTTCTTTATTAAAAGCACCAAAAAAATTCTCATTGGTAGGAGTGTATTCCAACAAACCAATGGGGCCACCCAACTCATCAACCATGTGACAAACATAGATCTCAACAATATCTCCATCTTTAAAGCTTTGTGAAAGTTCAAAAATACCCTCATCATTTTGTATATCTAATAGAAAGTCACTCCTAGGTGACCTAACATAAAATGTGCAACTTGTAGTATACTCCAGCTCCTTAATATCATTAGTTAGTTCGAAGTAAGACATCTTATCAATATCGACATCAAATATGTGAGTGATTTCTTCACCCTCATATAATGGTTTTCGACTCTTTCTATTCAAAATCCCACCATGGTAATATTTCATAGTTATATATGTAAAAGCACCCATTCCTAAAATTATGTCACAATTGCAGTACAAAATAAAAGAACTGAAGAAAATAGTTGGTTCTTAAAAATAAAAAAATTTGGGGGAAGACTAGAAGAATTCTAATTTATCAACAATTGGTACGCATATACAACTAAAACATAAATCGCAATCAGTAACAAGTCGCAATTACAAGACAAAATTATGAACAGTCAAAAATACTGATTTATCGACAAATCCTAACAATTTTTACGTCAACAAAATCAACAATAACGTCAATAGTAACCAAACCCTAGATAATTTCTGATGAAAAATTCAGTTCTAAGGTTAGATAAGACGAAAAAGGACTAACCTTCAAGAACTACTGATTTCAGTTTAGTTCAGGAATAGTTGCTGCCACGATTTCAGACACGCGATCAAGAAACACTATCAACAAACACAATTTCAACACGCTATCAACTAAAACGATTTTGATCTTTGAGTTCTTCTTAGGCCTAAGTGAAAGAGAGTTTTGGGAAAGAGACGAGACAGAGTGACAGTGAAGAGTGAAGTGAAGTGACGATTCATTTCCCTTTTTTTTTTTTTTTACTTTTTTCAAATATGTTTATTCAATGAATTAATTTAATTATTTGGGAACGAAATGACTAATTTGATTAATTTAATGTATTAAAACGTGTGTGTGACACACTCAACTAACATAGACTGAGTATAGACAAATATATATGTTTAAATTTACGGTATTAAATAGTCTATGGGAGTAATAGGTCCTCATCAAAGTTTGGTATCGTAACTGCTATTTCGGCCAAAGTTCGAATATTTTTTAGACTCTTTTCCCCGAGAAAAATGTAAAAATAAATAAATAAATTAGGAGCGGAGGGTTAAATAGGATGGGGTAGAATTTTTATTTTTTTATAAAATAAAATAATATCAATTTTTTTTTTGGGGGGGGAGGGGGATGATTGGGTGGTTTGGAGGGGGGGGGGAGGGTGAGGGGTGAAGTATGAATTTTTAAAATATATTATAATTTTTTTTTAAAAAAAGGACGGGGATTGTCGAGTGGAGGGGGGGGGGGGGTACGGGGAGGAGGTGGTGGAGTGGGGCAAGAAAAATAATTCAAATTTTATTTATTAAAAAAATATTTGTTTTTTTGGAATAGTAATACTTTGATCTTTAGTTTTTAATTAATATTAATAGTTTATTATTTAATATTTGGCAATGTAAAATATTTTATCCATGTGAAATGTCATGTATCAAGGTTTTTTCCAAATAAAATAAAGAGTGCATTACACACATGTGTTTCTTAAACTAATGAGTGATCGTTTATGTATGAAGCTTAGACTTTCAATAGTTTAAGTATAAAATTAAAAAAAGGAATAATTTAGATGTGTTTTTGATATTTATCTCTAAAATAATTTGAGTTTATTAATTTGCCTGTCCGTTTTACTTTTTCACTCATTTTCTGATTGAATTTATCATACATGTCTCTAATATTCTTTTTATAGATATAAAATATAAATTTACAATATGACCAAAAAAAAAGTTTTAAATTTTTTCTTTCTTTTTCATGCACAATTTTCTTCTTCATATTTTTAGACTAATAAATAAAGAAAAATAAGAATAAAAATAAAAAATTCAAACAAATATAAAAAATAAATCTATATAAGATATACTTAATACTACTCAAATTAGTCTTTGAATCATAATTTGTTAAAATTAAAAAAAAAAACAAAAAACATCAATTTAAAATTAATTTACCGACTGAGCTAAGACGTAAATAATACTCGTATTTGTTACTGTTTGTCAAATAGTGACAAAGAGCTTTTCTTCATTTCGTCTTCGCCATATTTACACAGTGATGCCGGAAGGAGCTTCTCGGGATTCAGCCATGGCGGAGATCTCTGAAGCACCAACTTCCTCCGATCCACCAAACACTAAGTCCGAAGAGGAACATTTCGACCCTAAAACCATGCGTAAAACCAAGCCTGGATTGAAGCGTTTATTTCTCACTCTCACTGTCTTCATCTCTTTTCTCATCGGTATTACTACACTCTTCATTCCATTTATGTATCCTTTTTCTGTGTATTAAACTCTCTTTTTTCAACAATATTTTTCTTTTACTTCTTATGTATACAGCTTTGCCTTTCTTACTTAAGTCCATAGAGATTTACCGAGCACCATTGCCTTTTGAAGACATCGATTTACTATCAACCGAAATGGAGAAGAATCATTTGTTGTTCCCTTGCCAATTTCAAGTAGTTTTTGTGAATTTCGATGATATTACTGCTGTAAATGAGCTAGGGCTTTTGATCGATTCTCATATGCAAAAACTGACTTCAGAAAATTCTCCACCTTGTGGCGCGTGTGGTAACAATGTTACTGTGGCTGTAACAATTGATTCCAATTCCAACTGTATTCACAGCGAAAGCGGAAATGGCGACAGTAAATGGCAGTGTGGTATGTTGAATGGATTTGATAAGGTGAATGATCATGATGAGGATTTTGATGAGTATTTAGAGTCGGTATTGGATAGTAAGAATAGGAAGGTTTATACGGTTGTGGTGATGAATAGGAAGCAGGAGGACGTTAGAATTGTGGTTGGAAAGTATAGGCATGCTTGGATAGTAGGAAATGATTCTGTAGAGAAAGCTGTTGAGAAAATGGCAGAGATTTTTATCAAAGTGTTTGTGAATGGTGGGAAGGAAGAAGGATCAATTCGTGGGGAATTCATGCCAGTAGGTGCTGATGGCAAGGTCGTGCTTTCTTTCAGTCTTTTGAATTCTGATCCACATGATTGGGTTTATGATTGGTAATCACCTCATTTTCTCTTTTTAGTTACCGAATATCCTAATTTACTTTTTTTTTTCAAAGATCCTAATTTACTTGCACATTGTTTCTCATTGTAAATAATGGAGCCTATAATTGGTTTTCCTCGTGTCATGGTATGGTATTTCGGTTACTTTTTTTGATTTAACTATGTAGTATGTATTGGTTAATGTGTTTGTAGCTTACTTTGTGTTGCTAAAGTTCATATTTTATGAATGTTGTATGTTTATCCTTGTTTAGCTGATACCCAATCAAACATATTTTCTATTTACTCATTTAAAATATTATCATCTATTTGCAGGGATTTTAAGGAGTTAGATGAGATTCTGCTAGCTCCTGTGGTTGATGCTTTAAGACCAGTGGCTGACATTAGTGTGGAAAGCCAGGTTGACTGTCTAGCCTTTACATTCTTACACCACTTAAGGATTTAGGGTATATCTTTTCTTTGGTTCCTTTGAGCTTATAATTTGAGCTCTTTTGTATTGCAGGTTCTATATCATACTCCAAAGTCTTCATATTCATATTGGGATGACACACAGGGTAGCTATATTTTCAGTACAAAAGATCTTCCTTTCTTTGTAAGTTAACTCAATGACTACTATGAATCTGACATTCTTATTGACGGTCAAAGTATCAAATAGAGCCCCCCACCCAACCTCTCAAAGAAAAGGAAAGGACAGAAATTCAGACAACATCCTGATTTGTATAATATCCGAGTTTTTGTAGGTAAATTCAAATGAATGGCACTTGGATACTTCAACAGCAGCTGGAGGGCGGTCAAAAGTCCTGCATTTTGTGTTGTATGTTTTTGATTCATTAACAGCTTTACTTAATGGATATTTCTTTTAAAGAACTTGCAGAAGCTTCTATCACTGATATTGCATTGTTAACTTTTTATGCTTTGATATCTGTGAACTGACAGTATAGTATGTGGAATATCATTAGCATAGCATCTACTCGTTAAAGTGTTTTTCTCCCTTCATTTTCATTGGAACTTGTTGACTTGAATATACTTTTTAGGCAAAAGAGAAGCACCACTGTATTCTATAATTGATTACTCTTTGAGGATTCTGCCCAATCCTGTGCAAGTCTACTACTTAAGGTCAACTTCTGACATGTACTCTGAAAAAGAAGAAAACGAGTTCCTTGAGCACTATGCAAAATCTAGTCATGTTAAATGATTGTTCTTTCATATTTAACTGGATAAATTTAGCAAAATATAGTAACTTGTTTTTCTCAATGCCAGATATGTGCCATCTGCAAAAGAGTGCCCTCTAAAGTTGCAGTTGCCAAATGGAGAGATTTCCATGACAAATGGTTTTATATCTCCGGTGAGTATTAAATTTACTGTCTCGATGTTCCTATCTGTGTCCGCCATTTCATATAGTATCATGCAGTTTAATACAGTTGATTCCAGATGTGGGGAGGTATTATTGTTTGGAATCCACCGGCCTGTGTAGAGAATTTTCAAATGCAACATCTTTCCAGGCACAAAATTTCCTCTGAGGTAAGGAGCCTTTCCTTATGGTGTCTAACAGTTTAAAAGTCAAGATGAATGAGCCTCATTGAGAAAAGGATTTTGAGAATATACAGTTATGTGACATGACCATTCTTTTTTTTTGAGGTCTTTTTTTTTCTGATAAGGGAAGGGAGGTGTTACACTGCTGATATCGTGAAGAATACTGCTGATATCATGCATTCTTTACATGGGTTTTAATTTGTTGTATTTTTTCTGTTATTCGTGCATTCTCATCTGCGCCTACAGTCTTGTCCATAGGTATTTAGTTCCACTTTAATTTGTTGCTTTGGCAACCCGGGTATATTAGGCATGTTTGTGTAGCTGAATATATTTGTGCTTGCATGCACGTGTGAGAGATTTCACATTCACAATATGTTTACCTGGATGATAAACCCAAAATGAGGAACAGAGTTATAAGTTATTCTCGTCAACTTTAGCAAGTTGGAGGTTTGGAGCTTCATTTTTGTTACGATGGGTTTTGTCAACATTGACATCAAACATATCTCACTGTTGAAGTAATTTCTACATTGATTCCCGGGATTCTTCATTCTTTTTTTAAAACTTATTGTGGTGTGTTTCCTATGTTTATCTGTCTACTAAGCAAGCAGAGCATAATGTTGCTATCGTGCAATATATTTCTTCCCCTAACACTAGAGTAAGAAGCAGTGTTGTCAATGGTGCGGATAAGCCCTGAAGCAAGGCACAAAATATGTTGAACGCTTCGCCTTGCTTAATTAATGTGCACTTCAGTGTCGTCATACTTTGCCTTGCCAATGGGCAATGAGTGTGTTTTGACGAAGCGACACTAAACAATTGATATTTCACTTTATCATAATTTTTTTCAAGTTCTTTGTCCATATGTTTATTATTCATGCTTAGTATTATTAATCTTGGACAGAAAACATATATTTGTATTTTTTTTCTCCATTTGCGCCTTTTTCATTAAAGGCCCACATTTTATTTCGGCTTAAAGCCCCAATGGACCTTAGAACTTTTTTGCACTTTTCACTTTTGATAACACTGGTAAGAGGGCATGAGGATATACTGCAACTTTCACTGAATAAAAAAAGGATATACAGCAACTTCTACGACATATTCTCTAATTGAACGACCTAGAATGGACCCCCTTACATTTTGCATGGGAAATAAAGAAAGCATCTGTGATGTCCATATCTTTGTTTTTTTGGATGGTATTTAACTACTTAAGATTGAGAAATGCATGCTCTGAAACAGGACTTGAAGATGATTTCTGAAGTTTTCATGGGACAGTTGCGCCAACTATTTGGTCTGAAGTCCGAGAGCCTTTACGTTGGTGGATTCGCCACATCTGTACTTTTAACCAGTGACAAAGGCTTTGCAGAATGGTAAGATTAAGATACTGCTTAGGAGGAACAAGATGGAATGTAGGAAATAGCTTAAAAACATTGCATGATTGCCTTAATAAAACTAAGCCGCTGATGTAAGTGGATTGATATCTGATAAGAACAATTTCCTTTTCATCTAAAATTGGATGTTAAGTGTATAAGTCACTGAAAATTTAGCCTTTCTTCAATTTGTGTCCGCATCTCCTTGTTGCAGTCAGAGATTGAATGTTTTTTCTTGGTATTATGTTGTTTTATACAGCTTTCTGTTTGCAAAACTATTCTTTGATTTCAATGGACACTTTTTATTCAGCTTTTTTCAATTTAGATGTAGATATTCTTTGGGCATGTATTTGATCATATATCATTCTAAAAATTCTTCTTGTAGGGAGTTGGACGTGTTATCTAGGCATCACACATGTTTCAATCTTCTTCAGTGTGGCACCACCCTTGGATCTCTTTCTCGATTGGTGGGTCATCAGCTGCAACTCCTTTCTGCTTACTTCATACTTTTAGGTTTTGATAATTTTTCTCCATCCAGGTTCAGTCACTTCCCAGGATGATAATCATGGATGAAATAGGAAAACAGGTTAGAGTTTCAACCAACCATGAAATTTAAAAGTAACTTCCCCTTACACTTTAGAAAGTATTTATTTGAACCTAATTATTTAAATGGCTTTCTCTTGAGTTTATGAAAGTAAAAAGTATCTTTTTTGCCGATTAAGATATGTTACTTGTGGAATTTTATGGTTTTAACATATTGGTAAACTCTTTTTACATCACCTATCAATACATATTGGTAAATTGTCAGCACTCGTAATTCTGAATAATTGTTCAGGTAAAGTATTCTCTTGAAGCTGCAAAATTATCTCTAGGCAATGTGTCTTTAGGATATTCTGATGCTTCTGCTGGTATGTTTCCTTCACCTTGGTATTAGTAATTCGACATGGTTACAACTAGTAATTTCCTTTGCACTTCTCTTTATAAAAAAAATCCAAAAACTATTCTTGTTTATTGTCAGTTTCCTCAAGAAAAGCAAGAGCATTAGCAGAGGATGCCTTTTATCATCCATCTATGATGTCCGTGAGCTATTATTCGTTTGAGCACTGTTTTGCTGTATATTCGGTAAGCTTCGTGTCACTAAAGTATAATATATTGACATGGTTTTCACATGCTTGTAGTACTGTTAATGATTAACTATAAGATCCCACTTCCATTGACTTGGTGTTTATCTGTTTTTAGTATGTTGTATTCGTTACACTTAACTATACCACTTCCACTTTCGTGTCAAAGGTAGGATGTGGTCACAAATGCATGTGAAGCAGATGACGGTTCTGCATGTCTTCTGTTTATGGAAATTATGTTTAACACAATGAAGACAACCAGCATATCACCATTCAATTGGTTCTTTCCTCATGCATTTGTTAAATGCACTAGTGTTTGAAAATAACATTTAATGTTTGTTAACTGCTGAAGGGAGGGCTGTTGCTTGAAGGATTTGTACATGTCACTTTCATAAGAAATATCTAGGAACAGGTTGATAATATGTGTGGGTGGGTAGTTAACATATAGAGTAAGCCTCGACACTCTTTAAATTGTCTGTTCTAATTCTAGCTTGCCATTCTCTTTTCACACTTATGCTACACCATAGTGATAAATTTGAGAGCACTGAACCTTTTATCCCTTCTATCCTGGGAAACCATCATAATTAAGTGATTTTCATATACTTGCTTTTTGCATTGGTGTAATTTAAGAGTGGCATCGGACTCATTTTGCACTTCTCAATACCACTTCTGTTTCTTTCATTTTGAAGAGTAACTAGGGCTTAACATTCTATCTCTTCTTATATGGTAGCTATAGTGTGTATTTTATTCTCATTCCATCACTTACAGTCCAACAAGGAGATTAATTTGGGTTGGAGGAAATAAAAGTTTATTTTTGTTTGTTGCAGCCATTCTTTCTGCCAGTTTCACTGCATGTGCTTCTTGCAGTCATGAGAGAATGGAAAAGATATAGAGTGGAAAACAGAAAGTACCTTGCATGGAAGGTCAAGGTCAAAGTTGAGTAGCATGCCAGAGTGGAAGCACAAAAACTGGTGTCCATGGACAATGCAAAAGTTGTGGGAAAAGCTTGTGAGGCTTGATTGGAGAGATGACACCTTTCGTGGTAGACGGTAGTGTACCGAAAAGTTTTGGAGAATTGAGATGTTGTACACTAACATTCCATGAAGATTTTATACAAAATTGACTAGATACAAATTCACCTGTATATTTTTTTCTTCCGACACTATCGTGCAATGTTGTAGTACTACAGCGCAGAATTTGCTTTGTGCAAAACATTGTCCCCGAGATGAAATTTAGGCTAAAAAATCAACTTTCTCTGCTACAATGATGATGCAGAAACAAAATTCTCCCTTTATCTGAGCAATTGATGAGGCATTCCTTACTACAGAAAGGAACAAGTATAGCATCCCCTGCTTAATAATTTTTGGTCTGGGAGAGGTTACAAACAAAATGAAGGAGCTAGGACCCTGCTCACCATTAACGGCTAGCACACTGGACGTTTGGTAATTAACACTTTTTTTTTGGATGGTTGTTACGTATTGTTTCATAATGTATTGTATTGTATTGTATTGTAGTCTACTATATTGTTTTAATGAATATAGTGTTTGAATAGATTGTATCGTTCTTCATCATTACATAATGTCAATAATCCATAATTTGAATGATAAACATACAAGAAACGTAGGGTATGGGGTTGAGCTACTATGAAAAGGTATGATAAAAAATGAAATATGATTATAATGTAGTACTAAAAGTGGGAACAAAAAAAGTTGAAATATCATTTTGCCCCTACACTAGATTTAAATATTATAAATATTTAGTTAATTACATGTTTAAATATTAGTGACAATCAATTATTACATTGAGTAAATGGAGAGTTCATGTGTTCAAAAGAGGATTGTTTACTCTTTCAGATTTTAATGGAGGTTCATTACATATATTTAATATTCTTAAAGTTGTTCTCTTTTATCTATTTTGGCCATTTAAAACCTTCAAATAGTATTTAATTTAAAACTTTAAGATGTCTTTAGGTATATTCCTCTATTTTTATCTATATAAATTCATCTTTTTTGTTTCAGGAAACTCACATCCAAAATTATCCTTTTCATTTTATAGTTAAAGTAGTGAAACCATCAACATCTAAAGTATATGATATATCTACCTTAGTCTGATTATATATCACTTTACGAAAATAAAGTGATTTTTCTATAAAGATTCATGCTTTAGTTTGACTTGTTGGAGTAGACTTTTGAATTTTGATTGGATATGAGAGAAGGTGTCGACAAAATTATGTACCAATTTTTTATTTCTTTTTTCATTTATATAATGTTATGATTAAAGTCTTAAGAAGGATGTGTATGTTATTTTTTTCTTCTATGTTATTTTTTTTATATTTCTCTATTAGTCTTCTTAATTTAATTTTCTATAAATTATTATCATAACATTTATTTGAGATTGTTGCATTTTAGTACTCATTACATGCATATTTTCATTGAATTTTAATCGTCCTAACGAATTTATAACATATTGCATGAGACACACGTGTCCACAAACTAGTATTATTATAAGTGGGAAGCCCTTGTCTTAAAAGTTGAATTACAAAAATGTCCTTATAAAGTCATAATGTTTATGGACAAAAATGTAAATACACACTAATCTATATCTATATTACATTAAAAGCATGAACTCCTAACTTGAATGTTAAATTACTATAATATTCCTAACTAATTAGATTGTGACTTTTTCGATGAGTTGTGACTTTTCTAATAAGTTGTGACTTTTTTCGAAGGGTTGTGATTTTTTGATGAGTTGTAACTTTTCCAAAGAATTGTGATTTTTTCAATAAGTTGTGACTTTTCCAAAGGGTTGTGACTTCTCAAAAGGTCATGACTTTTCCGATAAGACACAAAAAAATACTTGTTCATTCCACCCTTTGTTGACTATAAATAGAGGGGCTTCCTCTCATTTTTTTTAATCTTCTACTCTTCTTCTTCTTGCATTTTAAAAGATTTCGTGTGATTTATTGTCATCGAGTGAGTTCGAATAAGGCTATAACTGATGCCTTTGCTCTTAGTATATGCTGATTACTGTCGAGTTGTGAGTGGAAAGAAAGATTTCATTTTGGTAAAAACAGAAAATGTACATTTTTGTCGGTGTATTACTTGTGTCATTAGTTGTATGACAACCTGGTGCTGCCTTTTCTCCAATAATTTTATCATATCAAAATTAAATCAGTTGCTAATACTGGTCCATTTGTAACTTGCTAAGTGCATGGTTGTGGTGTTAACTCCCCTTTGATGATATGCTTCAATGTTCTACCAACAATAGAAGAATTAAGCAAAAAGAAGAGAAAGTTTATCTTGAGGATTACTGGAAACGTATCCCTTTACTCAATATTTCTTTGGTGTCTCTACATGCATTTTGTATCTTCACCTTTTCTCTTCTTTTTTTAACCGTTTGTGAAGGAACACACCATCATTATTATTGTCAAAATGCGGTTGTCTTTACCTCCCCTTTTGATAGTGATCTTTGATGTTTGAGTGAGCTGCCTTGTTTTTTTCCTTAGAGTTGTTGACTGATGAACTTCTCGATTGGCACTATCGATAGGCCATCAATTTGCATAATAAATGCATCAGTATGTAATGTTCCAATATATGAAGTTAACATGATGTAGTCTAAATTCATTTGTTTTTTTTAACAATTTCTCTTGTGATGTAAATACATGCTTCTGAACATCTTTTTCCAAAATTATTAAACTTCTCAAGAGTTAGAGAATTGTTACAATTTGTTTTTTTGATGCTCAAGACAATATAATGACTTTATTTATCAATGTTACTTATGTGATTTAGAATGTTAGGAAGTTTGCTTTAAAATAGTTATTATTATATAAACATTGTCCTTTTGTTTTACTTATTTACTATTTCTTAATATTACCATATTTTAGACGAAGAAAAGTTCATATATATATATATATATATATATATATATATTTGGGTAGGTATTTGTATTTAAATTAAAGTATTATATATGTCACACATGTATTATCAAGTTAACAAGATCTTCTTACTTCAAAATATATTATTTTAAATTGTTCCGGGTTCTTTTATTTTTTTTGAAAAACTCACAACAAATGTGAAAATATGTGAATGTTTATGAATCATTTAAAAATTATCATTTACAAAATAAATTTTATTTTCAATAATATGGAATAAACATTTTCATTTTGTCCCTACACTAAATTAAAATCTAATAACTATATAAAATTATAACAACATTAATTAAAAGTCCTATTTATTTATGTTAGTATAAAATTTATTAGAAATACAACTATTGCACATTAATTCTTTAGTTATAACATTATAATTTCTCTTAGTTATTACTAATTATTGCAAATGTTATTCACACTTTTAACATTCTTTAGTTATAAGATTATGAATTTTCATAGTTATTACATTAATTATTTCTTTCATCTTTTCTTATCTTAACTTTTGACCAATAATTTTTTATATTAATATACCGACCCTATATATGTGATAACACAATGTTGTTATTTTTCCTTGGACGAATCATGCTTTATTGAATAAATTGAATTTTTTTTACAAGTATATGAACTACATATGTGTTGGGTGTAAGATAAACAAGTGATTATATATATGATTTCACAGATAGAATATATTCTTTAATTTCAGTTTTTAGTTTTTCCGGTAAAAAAAAAGGAAACATTTCTCAGTTAACCAGGATAGTCAGATAACTAGCTTTGATTTATTTACACAGTCAATTGAGAAGTCAAATATGAGAGCCAACAACAAGCACGCCATTTATTATGTTATAACTTATAAAATAAAAATTAATATACAAAAATTAGTTCTAAAAAATAAAATATAGTTCTTCTCTTTACATGTTCATATGACATCTGAATAGTTTAACATGAAATACACGTGCAAACACATCGGGTAAGATGACAAAAAAAAATACACAACAAATATCGTCTATAAGGTGATATTATTGAGATACAACCAATTACATGATTGAACCTCAACAAATTGAAATAACTATATGCATTTAACTAATAAAAAAAATTCATTGATCATTTTTATAGGTTCGCGCGATTAAGAGATATATATGATGATCCACATTGAACATTCACAAAAAAATCTGCAATATTATTTTGTACAAAGCTTATTATTCAAATCTTCGCTTAAATAAGAAATACTATTTACTATAACATATATTTTCTGAATTGGTAACCACGTGCAACGCACGTGTCAAAAAACTAGTTATAATAAATACTCACATTCCATTTAACACTGTTGTTATATATTTATGAATAAAAATATAAATACACATATAAATTATATATATATATATATATATATATATATATATATATATATATAACTTTTTTACTTCACTTAAATAGTACTCTTACAATAATTTTATACAAGAAATAAAAATATACATTTTAACAAATATATAATAAAATTAATTGAAAATAAATACAGATTACTGTTAAAAGTGGGAAGCCTCAAATTGCAAAGTTGGATCGATTACCAATTTATCTTTATACTAAATTAAAGTAGTATAAAATATCTAATGAATTAATTATTAAATAAGCTTAAATTGATAAGTTAAATGAACGACCATTTTGCCTTCCGATCTAAAACTATTTCTGTAATATTTTATGAAGTAAGAAGTAAGCTTATAATCTAATAAAAAATTAAAAGAAGGACAAAAAAAAATTAAGAATAAATAGTAAATTATATCACTATTTTTTTTTTTGTTTGGTTAAAAGGGCTTTTTATTTATAACACAACTAGATCAACATTACATAGGGGTTATTCTCCCTCTCTGCTTCAACGTGATCATACAGTGTATGTTGAATTACTTTAACTACGTCATTATTATGCACTTCAGAACCCAATCTATAATTCAATTTAAAATTAATATTTGCCCATTTGCATTCCTTATAAAACTTCAGTAAATATATATATATGTAACCGCCCACTACAACTCTTTTAATTAGAGAAATTAATACCCAACTTTTCTTCTTCTTTTGCTTTTTATTTACCCTCATAATCTAATTTTGCTAATTATAGGGTGTGTTTGGTATGTAGGAAAATGTTTTCCTAGAAAATGTTTTGATTTTTGACTTAATTTCTCATGTTTGGTTGGTGAGTAAAAAATATTTTTCGGAAAAGATTTTTTAGTGTTTGATTTATGAATGATTTTTTTTTTTGAGAAAATATCTTTTATTTTTACTAGAGAGTAGTTTTTTAAAAACAAACTTAAAATTTTTTTTGGGGGTGGGGGTGGG